TCTCTAATGCAATGTCGTGCGGAAGGACCCTGCATTTTTCCTTCTCCTCCAACTTTATCATCCCCATTCAAACTACAATGCTCGTCCTTAAACAAGTTGCGTCACGTTTTATAAAATGCACAGCTTTTTTTGTGAATGAACAATTTAAATTCCGCTTTTTATGGCCCTTTTTTTCCTCCGTTTTTTTTTCTTCCCAAGTTGCACTTCCTCCCGCTTAGCTCTCAGTGTCAGCGGAATTAAGTGCTCAGGAAGTTGCCTTTAATCTTGGTTTTCTTCTCTTCGCGTTATTATCTCTTTTCTCTTTTTCTTCTGACTCCGCTCAAAGTACACCGTGAGTTTTTCGGACGAACTACATTCTTAAATAATCTAATAACCTGTCCCCCGAGGTGTCGCACAGAAGAGGACAATTGTTTACTCTTAACTGGTCTGCGCGGACAATCCAGAGGTAGACAGGAACCTCCTTTTGCCTCCTGAAGAGCAACGGAAATAGTTTGTCCGTCGTGAGAACCACGACTAAACCCTTGAAATTACCTAATTCTTTGCCATTGAGTTACGCGTTCAGTAGTTGTTTTACGAGCAGGACAATATGAATATCCTTATCGGGCAAACTCCTCAACTATTGTTCACCATCCAACAAGGAAGGTTTTAAGGGTACAGCGGGCTGATTATTGAATTAGACAAAGCGAAATCACGACACTGACTTTGCGAGTTGGAATATTAGAGCCGAGTACAGTGCGTCCATCGCAAAACCTCGTATTAGCGCCTACAAGACTGCAAGGATACTTCATGCATTGCGCGTACACCATGGAGGATACTTCACGCATTGCGCGTACATCACGGTGCATATGAGCAATGCGTGAAGTATCCATGCAGTCTTGCAGGCGCCAGTGCGCGTTTCGCGCTGCCAGCACCGTGCTCGGCTCTAATATTAGAATTTAGGAGCTTATGTGTTTTTTCCTCAAAACCCTTGTATTTCATCTACGAAAATGAAGCCGCCGTAACTCCGGGGTGGTTTAATTTTGGTGAGCGTTTCCCGCAAGCCCTCCCTAAATTTTTGCACGGCAGGAATTGTGATTTGCGAAGTGATTATTGAAATAGATAAGTAAAGCTACAAACGAAGAAGACATAGGTAGTATAGAACGATCCTATTGGTTGAAATGGGTGGTTCCTATAGACTAAGGGAGAAAGTGGACTAACTATAGGATCTCTCAATAGTTGACGTTAGTTAGTCTATTACCTACCTCCTTTGCCCATTGCAACCTCCCGCTTCCACCAATAGGATGCCTTTACATCCTTTTTGTCTTCTTTGTCTATAGCTTTGTCCATCAATTTCAATGATTGGCCCGCAGTGGTGGAACTCGCCCAATACTCCCGAGCATGCAAAGTTTTGCATCATTCGGATATAAAAAAGCTTGGTAGAGTGGACGCAAAGTAAGTTTACACAATTTTAGATTATGTAACGAAAGATTACCTGCCTTCAATTCAGCATTGAAACTAAATTCAAAAACCAAGATGGTGCGATAGATCGTCTGTAGGTCTCTAGAGGTGCGTAAACTTATTTGCCGTGGTCTCAAGTGGGTATTGAGCTATTAAAGCTGTATATGTACTTATATGTTTTCCAAGAAATTTGTAACTATTTTTAGATTCCTGACAATGGTGCGCGAATTTCTCGTAAATCTACCACTCGAATCGTTGAAACCATCGAAAGTCTGATACTGGCTACTGGATATCCTGTGTAGCATGTAAAGCCAGACAGTCTATAGTATCCCCATTACCATGATCTCAATGTATACTGCATATAAAAAACCTTCCTCCGAAATCTTCTTTTTTGATCCTCAAACCTAAAATCTGTCGAAACCATGGTCTAAATTGAATAAAATTTTACTGCAAACTTTCCTGGATGTGTTTTAGTAACAATCGAGCAAGCCTACTGACTGATTACAAATTGGACTCCATTTCACATCTAAGAACTACAATTTCTGTGTCATCCGTAAAAACACTCATGTGCGCAGGGAAACTAATTGTACAAGGGTTGTTTTTCAGTTGAGCCAGAAATTGTAGTTCCAAATTGCAAAATGTAGTCCACTTTAACGCAACGCGCAGGGTATAAGTCAGTCAATTTCATGGTTGAAATTGAATGGAATTCTGCTCCGGACGTTAATGAATGCATATTATTAATATGCCAGCCTATTGACTGCTTACAAAAACACAACGCGCAGGATCTAAATATTCGACGTGATGATAAGTCAATCAATAATCATCGTCGGAAAGCTGTGAAATTATGGCTGAATCCCCTCTTTCTCTCCTTATGCCTCTCAGAGTGTAATTATGATCTCTGTGCCCATGGTCGTGGGCGGCAAACGTGGAGACCGCATTCTTTGTTTACTAATTACCGTTGAGGGAATATTTCCGGTGCATATTGCTCCGGGAGTGATTTTAAGCTCCAGCACGACCATGATATTCCCTGATTTGGGCGGAAGCAATAATTACCGCCACTATTTGCTCGCGGTTCCGACCCACCCCGGAACACCCCCACTCCACCCCATCCACTAGGCATACTCCAACAATTTTTTGACCCATTTGATCGCATATTGAACATTTAAACACCCGCACAGTGTGGTATCCGCTTTGTGATCCGTCCCTCCGGCTTGGAAGAGAGGGAAGGGTGCAATAATAGTTGTATTTACGATACACACTGTACTACAGTACTACTTAGTTTAGGAAAATCGCCGCGTGAACTTTTGAACGTTGCTGGATTTTCTTTCATCAGACAAAAATCACTGAAACTTGTATAAAAAAATCCCTACTACCATCACAATTTGCGAATTGGAATAAGCAACGTTGAAATGCAGTTACGTTACTTACGTTCGTCCGTCTGGGTAACGAAGAACCGTTCCGGAAAACCGAACAGCGTCTTCGTTCGTGGAAGTTCGGCTCACGAGTGCTAAAGATGGTCTCTTACTTTATCGCTCCTCTAAAATACGTAACCCTTATTCTTAGGGATGGGCCTTACTGTCCTCATAAATCCATGCCTGCTACGGACCACGCGAAAGATGGTTGCTTACGTTCTTGCTCCTCTAACTTAAAGACGTAACCCTTATTCTTTCGGATAAGCCTTTCTTTCCTTACGGAGCACCCGAAAATCGAGTTACGTTCTTACGTTACACTGTTCGTGGAAGTTCGGCTCACGAGCGCTAAAGATGGTTCCTTACGTTGTCGTTGCTCCAACCTAAAGACGTAACTCTTATTCTTTGTGATAAGCCTTACTCTCCTTACGGAGCACGCGAATATCGAGTTACGTTCTTACGTTACGACGTTACCTAGTTCGTGGAAGTTCGGCTCCTGAGTGGGAAAGATGGTTCCGCACGTTCTCTCTTCTCTTACCTAAAAGCGTAACTCTACTTTGGGATGAGCCTTACCCTCCCTTTAAATCCATGCTAGCTACGGATCACCCGAACATCAAGTTACGTTCTGACGTGACGTCGGCGCTCGTTCGATATGGCGGAGAGCTCTCAATTTTTTATCATTTTTCACGGCGGCGATCCCCGACGCGACGAGACGAGACGCGAAGCGTCGGACGAGCGCGAGCGAGGCGAGGAACGGAAAAATGAAACAATGATTATGGAGATGCATTCGTACGTAATACCTAACACGAGCCGGAGTCTGCACTCCCATCCGAACGAGAGCGCGATGGATCGAGGCAGCGCGAAACAAAAGGGAAGAAAAACGCGCGGGGCGGGCGGGGAACAGGGATTACAAGCGTTAATCCGCAGCGGCTGTAACTGGGAACGCTTCGTTACGGGCCCCGGCTGCGGGTTTCGTCTGTTTGGCTACGGCATCGCCCCCGGTATCTAGTCCCGATTGTCTTCGGGCTAACGCTGATCCCTCGAATCTGAAGATATGGACGCCGATATTGCATTCTCGAGCTTACGGAAATGCCACGTTCCGCGGAAACGGCGGTTTTAATTCCTCCATGCCGAATGCACGCACACTGTAATAAGTGCCCTTGTTAGAAACTGGGTCATCTCGTCGTCTCCCGGACGAAGGGACGTAACTCCGTTCCAAGGTTGCCACACTGACTCAAACTATTAATCATTTTACTAAAATATACCCGTGCAATTTTTAACCCTTTGTCTGATTTTTGCATGAAATCTGAGGCAAAATCTGTGAGATTTTCAATTAGAATTGCCCAATTCTATGTAGGGAGGAAGGGGGAATCAGTTTTCGGGTCATCTCGTCGTCTCCCGGACGAAGGGACGTCACTCCATTCCAAGGTTGCCACATTGACTGAAACAATTAATTTATTTTACTAAAATATACTAGTACAATTTTTAACCCAAATTTGTCTGATTTTTGCTTGAAATCTTAAGAAAAATCAGTGACACTTTCAGTTAGAATTGCCCAATTCTACGTAGAGAGGGGAGGGGTGTCAGTTTTTGGGTCATCCCGTCGTCTCCCGGACGAAGGGACGTCACTCCATTCCAAGGTTGCCACATTGACTCAAACAGTTAATGTATTTCACTAAAATATACCCGTGCAATTTTTAACCCTAATTCTGATTTTTGCATGAAATCTGAAGTTAAATCAGTGGCATTTTTTATTAGAATTGCCCAAGTACATGTGGAGAGGGTGAAGTTGGAGGGGTGGTGGTCAGTTTACTCCCTCTCCTCCCCAAAATTACGTTTTTGGAAATCCCCCGTGGAGCGTTTGACAGCCTCCCCCACTTGGAGATTGCAGCCCTAAAACCTCTCAAAACCCTCTTTTTTCTCCGCGAAGAATCCGGAGTGACTGTGCGACGGGTCCCCTGGAATTGGTTTGACGGCAGAGTCACATCGTCACGCAGCATGTCAGTGGATCGAGCTTCAACTTTCTTATTGCCACGCCGAGAAACCGCACGGTGGTGCAGGGGGGAGGGGGCGAGGGGTTCGGCAGGAGGAGCGTCTTGCAGGAGGCTGACGCGAGAAATGGCATTGATTATGTTTTGTTTTGACGTGTTGCAGAGTTTGCCGCAAACGGCGCTGAGCGAGACGGCTACCGGAGTCTCCCTTGACAGTTCCTGCTCAACAGATCTCCCCATCCCGTCCGGTGTCTCCGAGTATGATAATGTAAGTCATTTTTTTCTTCTTTTTTTTCCTCTTTTTTTATGATGGACTGGATTCCGTGGAGAAGGGCTCCATTTCCACAGCCCCCCCACATTCGAATCTTAAACCAAAAATTATATCATAATTTTGTGCTAATTTTGTGCTATTTTGTGCCGCAAATTAAAAATTTTGTGCTGCAAAATTAAGGGGGGAAACGCTCCTCAAAATTGGGGGGGGCTGTAGAAACGGTAGCCCCCCCACTTTCGAATTTTCGAAAAAAAAGAATGCCATNGGGGGGGCTGTGGAAATGGACCCGTGGAGAAGAACCAAGTCACATTCACTCATAATGGAGAAAAAGAGGTTTTGAATGAGTTCCCGAGGGTCTAGAAAATCTTTGATACCTCAGCTGCGCTTGGCCGGTGGCGATTTTGCAAGTTGGCAAGAATGCTTTTCCTTTATATACACAGGAAAAAAAAACACATTGGATCTAGTAAAAATACATTATTAGATTAGATTTATAGGAAAAAGAATCGCTGCTCTCACAATTCTCGCAGTGAATTCCCACGTGCTACAGACCTACCGCTCTAGTCGTTGTTACAATGTTACGTCTGTAATACAAATGATTTCAGTCCAGATAACAATGTGTCATTCTAGTCTGTATTGTAACCAAAATCGAAATAATTGTTACCGCAAAGGGACATTGCAACCACACTGGAAAAAAAAACACATTGAATCTAGAGTCCAGACTCTTAAAAACATCGACAAGAAAAAACACTCTTGATTCAATCGGATTTTTGCTTTAATCAAGAACCAAGCCTCTTAATTTGAGCGGATTTCCTTTCGATTTAATCAAAAATCTGATTCAATCAAGAGTATTTTTTCTTGTCAATGTTTTCAAGAGTCTGGACTCTAGATCCAATGTGTTTTTTTTTCCCCGTGTAAATCTTTTGAAAGTATCGATTCTGGGTGAGGAAAGCTGCCTTTTCTCAAGATCGCGCTAATCACATGAATCGCGTCCTGATAATTTTAGGTTATGGACCCGTAAAAGTTTTATGAAAACACTAAGTTTCCATGTCCAATATTTACGCAGTTAGCGCGCCCTTCAAAAAACACGGCGTTTGACATCACCCACCGCGGTGGTACATACCATCGTTTCTAAAATAAACCCGAATCTCATCAATAGGCATGATTCTAGGTCTTTGCAGAAAATTTTAATAAGTGCACAGTGTTCGTAATTCAGAACGAAGTATTTGATGGTTTTCTGCGTAACGGTCTGAGAAACTTTTCAATTTGGCCTTGAATACTCGGAAAATCCAGGAAATTTTACTCTTAATGGGCCTGTTGCAAACTTTTGCTAGAGCAAAACTAAGAGTTGTTTCTTACAGATAATGCCTCAAAAATCACGATGAGCGCATCGGCAAACTCTGAAATGCACTCATAACTTCACAAACTGCGTAAGAAATTTGCGGTTTTTTGAGCTTCCCGCTTCAAAAACGATACTACGGTACAGGTGAACATTTTGTAAGAGGAGTCGTTCCATCGTCGGCAATAATCATCATAGCCGACGCCAATCCGCCAAAACACGTTTGATGGGACGAGATAACACCTGAACTGGATTAGACCAGATATCAATCGGTGTGTTAACGTTCATATTTTCCACGCCCGAATTGATTGACCTTGAACTCTCCTTGAATTACGCGCGGAACTGCGTGCAAGCGTCGGCCATGATGAATATCGCCGACAATGGAGCGACTCCTCTAACAAAATGATCACCTATGCCGTAGTATCGTTTTTGAAGCGGGAAGCTTAAAAAAACGCAAATTTCTTACGCAGATTGTGAAGTTATGAGTGCATTTCAGACTTTGCCGATGCGCTCATCGTGATTTTTGAGGCAGTATCTATAAGAAACAACTCTTATTTTTGCTCTAGCAAAAGTTTGCAACAGGCCCATTAGCTGAAAAACTTGTTACTTGACTGTCAGCGCAAAGAATGAACCTTTGAACTGTTCAAAGGATTATTTTACGAACTCATCGACGCAAAAAATGCCCCAAAGTGATAACCAATCTTATCATGGGGGTTTCTAGTTTGTAGTTCTGGGAAATGTAGATTTAAGAAAAAGCTATTTGAACTTGAAGTCTTCAATATTTGGGGTTCGACATTCTCGGGTTATGATGCAACGTTACGCCTTTGATCCAGTGGCGTGGCGTGCTTTGCGATATATCGATTGATCGGCCTTAATCTTATGGAGAAGTATCAAGAAACAGGTGTTGGCAGCGAACACCTCAATCATCGATTCTTTACCACAGCTTCAAATGGGGAAATATCGATGGATCGCGAAGCACGCCACGCCACTGCTTTGATCAGCACATTAATGAACGAATCGCAAGAAAATTATTTGTTTGAGTACAAGAGTGTTTTACGACGAAAACACTCACATTCGAAACTTTCAATTTCAAAAATTCCCTAGTAATCTGGAAGGAACTTCCTAATCTCACATATTTATCATTTAAACCACCTAAGCGAAAGACTCCCGAGAAATAAAAGAGTTCAAAGGCACGCCGATGGTTAAAGGGCAAACACGGCATGTTCGGAGTAGACACCTCTCTGAAAAGAGCAAGCCTTCTGTATTCAAAAAGAATTTAGCTGCAGAGAAGATCTATATCCGAATGCTGAAATGTTTGAAGTCAAAGTTGATAGCCTCCCGCACGCCCACTAAGCTTTAGAACGTTACATTTTTATTCCTAGTGAATAATTGTTGAAATCACTAACAACATGCGGTTTAAAACATCCACGAATCTGTTAAAATGATCATTTGAAAGCAAAAACCGATCTAAATTCAACTGTATGATATTTAACAGGCACACATGTTTACGCATGTACGGAGACCTTAAGAAGGCAGTATTAATACAGGCATATGAAAAAGGTTAAGAGTAAAACAATTGTGCAGAAGTTTGTTTTCTTGAATAAAATCTTACATCTTAGTGGTTTGATTTTATAAACGGAAGGTAAAATCATCTTCATAATCGCAACTGAATTTATTTTGCAAAGGCATTTGAAATATGTAGTGCAGTACGTCCGGAGAAACCGGTTTTTTTATCTATTTTAGAATCGGACCAAGTGTCTTTATTAGTATGCGAGTAAGCGTTTCATAAATGAGTCAGAACAGAAACCTCTTTTTTGCGTAATGCGGTATCCGAAAAATCCTTCAATTGAAAGCGTAGGCAAAACGCGCGCCGGAGAGTTAAAATAGTTGTATCACTGGTATGTGACAATTGCAATTGCGTGGACATTCGTTGCTGTGCTTCTGTACCTCGATATTTTCACTGTGATGCGTTGCCATGCTTGAAACAAAATATTTGTCGACCAGTTGGATGTTGCCATATTTATTTCAATTGAACTCTCAGCTTTTGAATAGCTTGTGTTTTTTTTCATCGAATTTTTCAGATCATTTTATCCGGAATGATCAAATATTTTTTTAAAATCTCGAAGGTATCTCGAGGGTACTCTTAATAACGCAGCAGGCAGAGGAAAATAATCGTAACGAATTACCCCGAATAGTTTTACATATGTGTTTAAAGTTTATATTAGAAGAATATGTAATTTGAATTTTACATCGTCGCAATTCGAGAGGTTTAAGAGTTTCACTATTTCACTATCGATATGTAGTGGTGAATATGTTTGCAAATTGATTCCAGGCTTTGGCATTCGGAGGAAAGGCTATTGCTAGAGGCCAGGAAAGAATCATTGTTTATTTTTTATTTTTATCTAATTTGAAGAGGATACAAAGTACAAACTTCCCTGTTGCCCACCTTTGATTCGGTCAGTAAATTTAAAAAAGGGACGAATATCAACTCCCTCTAGTTCACTATTATCAATGTATGTCGTTTCATCGTGGAAAATAAATTGCATCTGACACTGGCAGAATGAATAATAAAAAAATAAAATAAATTAAAAAACCGTCAGGACAGATAACTCAGCACCCCATCCTCTACATGAGATTCAAACATTAGATATTCGTGTACATTTTGAACCATGCTGTCCACTTGAAAAGAGGCCGCAGCCCCGGAGAAAAAATATTTTACAGGAGCGACCTTTGCCAAGTTGTGTCGAAAAATCGGTATTTCAGTTACAAACGTGTTAACGCCCTCGCCTGTCTCTAAGTTATATAGGAAGCTAATTTTTGTCATGTCATTAAAATAGACAAAACATAGCCATATCTGTGGTATGTTACGTATCCGTCGCAGGCAAATAGTATAGTCAGAAATTTTTTAAAATGCCTAGGCAAATAGTCAAATATCCTAATGTATATTGAAATTCTGATTCTTTTCCTAATTTTAGACAGAGTAATCCATTGTTTCTGTAAGAAAAATTCTCCGTAAAAACGTGCATCAAACGAAAGCATTTTCAATGAGTTTTAACAATCTGGTTGAACACAATCATTTGTCCTGAAAGTTTCAACATGTCAGAAAATACATAATTTTTAAAATTTTAACATTCATATATATGAGAAGTATTTGAAAAAGAAGAAACAAGAGAAGTTTACAGATTTGATCACTTATTTTTGCCTAAATATTAAAAACTCGTAAGCTTTTCCCCATAAATTTACGGAATTTCATAAACTACCCAAATGTGACTATCTGCTCAGGCATCTGATAAAATGCCTTTTTGCCGATTTGGCTAACTGCCTGCGACATACCGATTAGCCGGCATGGATTTCGCTTTGCAATCGCTTCTAAAATTCTAACGCCTTGCATCGTTGAATTTTAGCTCTGTAACTTGAACTATTGAAAAAAAACTCGAAGCCATTAAATCCTCTTCAAATTTTGTCGTTACCCTTCACGTCGTTCAACATTGTTGTAAAATCATATAATAATCGTGGCGCATGTTGTAATGCGGGTTGCATCCCATCGCCTGTCGTTGTCTTGTCCGGCTTTCTAATCCCGGGATAACTTTTAAATACGCACTTTCAGAAGTTTTGGATTGTAATTCCATTTAAGTGCATTCATGTAGGCCCGTGTTTTTGC